CCAGTCAAGGGCATGTACCTTGGTTGTAGCACATCCCCAGTGGGGGGTGTGCAGGAGGCAGCTGATGGATGTTTCTCTCTCATCGATGTTTCTAACTCTCTATCCCTCTCATTTCCTCTTTTTTAAAAAGCAATAAAATATATCTTAAAAAAAATTCCTGGCACTCGTGTGATTCACATGAGGATTCCTGATAGTTGGAAATGGTTCATCGCCCTTTGGGAGTCTGTAGCCCTCCTGGGAGACGCCATGTGAGAAGGACAGAGAGGGACATGCTGTATGGCTGCCGGGGGGGCGGGGGGTGCTGGGTGTGACGACATGGGCAAAGGGCATGCTTGGTGGCTTTGGGGATGGCGGAGGGCGAGTGAGTTTTCCCAGATCTCAGAGGGGAGTCACGTGTCTAAACCTGCTGTTTGCACTGGGCCCTGTCGCCGCAGCACCCACATTCACTTCCGGAAACTTGTTACAGTTGACCTGGCGGACCGCCTGGTGGCCATGCTTGTCGTCCATCACACGCCGTGTTCACGTCTGTGCCTCTGGCCCGGGGCCTCCTCACCGCACTGTCCGGGCAGAGGCTGGCTGATGAGCCCCAGTGCCGCCTTTCTGTCTTTAATTCATAACCACGATGATAGCCCCAGAAGCACCAACTTACCGCCCTTCTTAGGTGCCCAGCCCTGGCCGCAGAGCTTTGGTACCGCCTGCCTTTCCGTCTCCCTGACACTGCTAGGGGCAGGCCTCCCGCTACCCTGACGACCGTGTGGGGACCAGGCGCGGGGAGGCGCCGTGGCCTGTCCACACAGCAGACAGCGAGCAGGGGGAGCAGTGGGGGGTGGTGTTTGGAGCGTTTTCACGAAGCTCACAACCACCCCATCGTGAGAGGATTTCAGAAAAGAAAGGCCTTTTCTCAGGCGGGTTGGAGGGTGGCAGGAGTCTCCGGGCCTGTTTTGATTCTGTACGTCGCGTGGGGACGTCACCATGGCCGTTCTCTGGAGCCTTTGGTCCTTCAAGACGATCTGTTAAGTGACAGCTACTGCCCTTGCCTTCCTGGGGAACGGGGAGCCATCTACTGTGCACCCCCATTTATGAGACTCACTTTTAAAAACGTTCAACTCTTTATTTGGATGTGATTTCAAACTAACAGAAAAGTTGCAATAGGGTAGTATTAAAAATAGCCGTATGTACCCTGGCCGGTGTGGCTCAGTGGACAGAGCGTCGGCCTGTGGACCAAAGGGTCTATGTTTGCTTCTGGTCAATGGCACGTGTCTCGGTTGCAGGCTCCTCCCTGGCTGGGCCCCGGTCTCGGTGTGTGCAGGAGCTGCCGGAGGCAATCAATCCGTGCGTTCTCTCTCACATCGGTGTTTTTCTGTCCCCACCTCTCTCTTTCACTGTCCCTAAAAACCAGTGGGAAAATATCCTCGGGGGAGGACTAAACAAAAAACCAAACAAAATACCCTCATACCTTTTACTCAAGTTCACGTATTGTTGTGCTTCACTCTACTCCTTGTAACCTTTGTCTGACTTCGGGTGAGTGCATGTGGGGGAAAGAATGCTTGGCCGCATTTTTTCTTTCTGAATCATTCCAGAGCATGCTGCATCCACGCCGGCCCTTTTCCCTAAACGCAGACCTCGGCGTGCATCTGCTGAGTGCGGGGAGCTTCTCGCACGGGGCCACACCCCAGCAGCCACTCGCGGTACTTTCCACGTGGGCGCGGCGCTGGGACCTGGGCACGGGCCGTTCTGTCCGTGCGGCATGCCCGCCCCCGGGCGGCGCCCACCCCGAGGCCGCCTCTGCCCCGAGAAGGCTCTAATTGCGCCCCCTTTTATTTCTGCCCCTCTCTAGGAAACATGGCATATAACCCCACCTGACATCTGATGAAGCTCAAACTTTTGGTATTTGTCTTCATGGCTTGATGTTTTGCAGCTCCTGATCATTAAGACATACACTTTCCTTTGAAAACGAGTTACTGGAATGGCTTCTATTAATTACATTATGTGCCTAAGTGAATTACTTTTTTGGGCCTCAGCTGAAATTTTAACAATAGCTTAATGACATTAATGTAATTTGAGTTTTAAAAGAGACTTCTATTTCTTGATACAAGCCTAATGCGGGATTACTGGAAAAATAGGAAACTCCGAGAAAGAAAATTAGACTTTTTTTCTTTCTTTTTTTTTTTTTTTTTTTGCTTGAGAGGCATGAGGGATGCTGACATGTATGAAAGAAAATTCTTAAATAATCTGAGTGCTGATTGTATCACTCTCCCTGCCAGGACACAGGGCTGCCTGCTGAACGGACAGCTTTCCCTGCTTCCTGGTCCATGGCAGTGCTGAGCTCCTGGTAGTCAGAAGCTCAGGCCCGGGAGGGCCATGAACGTGGCTGCCAGCTGTCTTCCCGTCCCCGTCCCCGTTCTCATTCCCGTTCCTGTTCCTGTCCCCGTTCCTGTCTCCAGCAGCCTGTTCCAGCAGTACGGAGCTCCCAAGCATTGTCCTGACCGTCTTCTGGGTTCCCGGCAGCCTGTCCCTCTCCTGGCCGCCTTCCTCCTCCCCAGGAACCCGCTGAAGGCTGACCAAACCCTCCCGCTCCGAACCATTGTGCCATCCCCGCCTCCCCGAGGCCTCTGGTCTGCACATTCTCATTCGGTGACCACAGCTGAGAGCCAACCGCCTTCCACCACCATCACCATCATCAATTTCTTTATTCATTTTAGGACAGAAAAAACGTTTCTTTTTTGGAATCAGACCCAGTCGTTTGTAATAGTGATTGTTGAGCAACGTTGGCAATCCTGACCTTTCTTTGCTTTCCCTCCCAGGCCCATCTTGCATCTTGCATTTTTGGTATTGTTAATGTCCTCAGTCAAGGAACCAACATCTGCCCGGCAGCACGGCTCAGGTCACGGTTTGATTCCTGGTCAGGGCACAGGCCCGGGTTGCGGGCTCCATCCCCAGAGAGGGGTGTGCAGGAGGCAGCCAATCCATGACTCTCTCTCATCATTGATGTTTCTATCTCCCTCTCCCTCTCTGAAGTCAATAAAAATGTATTTTTCTTTTTAAAAAAAGGAATTAACACCCAATGAATTGGAAAGGCATGTTGATGACCTTGTTACCATGTAGCATCATGTATTACAGAGTCCGAAGGCCCCCAAGGCCAGCCTGCTGTTCTCAGCGTGACTGCTACGGTTACCGGCGACACACCGCGTCCTCACCGGGCATTCCCTCCCCGTGAAACTCGGACTTCACCCATCATCGTGGAAGCCCAGCCCCTCCTCACCTCGCCGAGCCCGTTACCCATCACTGCCAGGCCCGTGTCTGCCGCGCGAGGCCTATCTGCACCTCCCCTTGTGCAGCTGTGCTGAGATCTCAGCCCGTTAGGACCATGGCAAACTGCGGCTCTCGAACCACCTGCGGCTCTTTGGCCCCTTGAGTGTGGCTCTTCCACAAAATACCACGGCCTGGGCGAGTCTGTGTTGAAGAAGTGGCGTTAGAAGTTGTTTTGATTTTAAAACATGTGGTTCTCCAAAGAAATGTCGATCGTTGTGCGATTGGTATTTGGCTCTGTGGACTCATGAGTTTGCTCAGGAGACACAGGTGCTCTGGCTCAGGGAGCCGCAGCGGGAGCAGCCGGGAGGGCGCTCCCAGGAGGAGGCTGAGGCTCGGGGTGCTTCAGAGGGACTGCCCGTCTGCTCTCACAGGGCTGCTGGCCCCCGCTCCCTTCTCAGTTCACACCCCCTGGGGGGGGGTATTGGTCATTCACTGGGCTTTGGAGGGCTCTTGCCTGGCCGCTGCCTCCCGGCCCTCTCTCTGTCCAGCACTGCGCTCCACACCTCTGCACCCCAAGCCCAGACAGCCTCCTTGACACCATCCGCGGCGGAGACCATTGGGCTTTTTAAAATTTTTTTATTTTTTCACTCATCATTTATTTACAAATACACATTATAACTTTTATATACACTGCACATTTACATGGTAGAAAAAGTACAAAACTATATATTTAAATGAATTTTTATTTAACTTGCCATGTTTGAGAGTATAAAATTGCATCAGGAAAAAAAGTATTATGAAAAGCAAGAAACTTGAACCGAGAAAGCTCTGATAGGACTTGTGGTGACACACCGGTGGGAAAAGGAACGGATTTTAAAGGTACAGGAGCCCAGCTTCCAGGAAACACCGAGCGAAAGGCGAGGGGGTGGGAGCACTCCCCTCCGTCCGTCCGCCATCCGCCGCCCCCCCCCCCCCCCCGGGACACCCATCACTCCGCTTCTTTGGGTCTGGAACACCTTAAGAGCTCTGATGACCAGAGGCCTGAGGCCGCCGTCCCTCGGCCTCACCGCCGTCCCCATCACAACCAGAGGACGGAGGTCGGCGTTTCCTCCAAGCTGCGGCCCCTGGGCCTCCTGTCTGAGCCACTGACAAGGCCTTTTGGTCAGCCAGGGTCCCTTGTAAACAAAACCCGAGGGGGCGTGCGCGCACAGAACAGGCAGCAGAGAACCCAATAAATAATCAGGACAAACCGACGTGCAGGTTCGTGCCAGGGGCGCGGAGCCCGAGGCCGGACCGCGCGGTGGGGGCGGGGGGGGGGGTGCATGTCCCGGGAGGAATGGTTCGATGGTTTACAAGGCAAACAAAGCCGTCACTTCACAAGCAAGAGACCTCACAATAAATAACAACTGCTCTTCCTCTCACGAATAAATTTCTTCAAAAAAAAAACAAGGCGTACAGTCAACCAGACACTTTATGTATAAATTATAAAACATGACACAGTATAAATAAATGTCTACACGTCTCGGCGACGGGCCTCAGCCAGGAGACCTCGCAGGGTGGCCTCTCTGGTCCGAGGAGTAACAGGTGGCCGGGGAGAGAGCCGGAGGACCGGGGTCCTCTGGGCGTACTGTCCCCCAATAAATAAGCATACACTTATGTACAGTATGGACACCATGTATCCCCCCTCTCCTTCCTCTCCTTCCTGTGCCCGCCCGGAGGCTCCGCTGGCCTGAGCGTGGCGGGCGGCTTTACCACTCTAGAATGGAGGAAATGGGGAAGCTGTAGTCCTGGTCTTCGTCCTCCTCCTCCTCCTCGGTGTCTTCGGAAATGGCTAGATGGGGGAACACAGGGAGCTGCTGTTTAACGCGGACCACACCGGCCCGAGCCGCTCAGGGTGCGTGGCCCTCTGCACTTTTACGTGACTTGCAGGGAGATGCTCTTTCTGTTTTTAGTTTTTATTTTTGGCATCTGCTGTTCTGCAATACGTTTTTTAAAAATGCTTAAAAAAAAAGAAAAAAAAAAAAAAAGAAAGAAACACCGAGAACACCACCATAATCTATGAAGTCAACAACGGCAGAAAGTTCTGAAGAATCAATGGCTCAGGCTTAACGGGCAGATCCTGAAATCAGACAAAAAGCGTCCTGTGTTCCAGGCACCACCGAGGGTCCTCACGCCAGGGTTAGTGCAGGACAACAGAAAGCTGCCTCCGAGGCGGAGAGGGGCAGCTCCGGAAGCCGTTAGTGTGGGCCCCGGGTTAGTGCAGCCAGCAGCCAAGCACAGGGCCGCCGCCGAGGCGTTAGGGGCTCCTGACCGCAGCGGCTTTCGGAGGCCGCCCCGCCCGCCGGCGGTCACGGACACAGCCCGCGGAACCGAGCGGCTGCCTAAGGTCAAGGTCAAGGGTCCCCATCTCCGCTCCCTCGGGGCGAGGCTGGGGGGCCTTAGGTTGGAGCAAGCCGAGCACGCACTTACAGTTGCAGGATCCGGAGTGCTTCACCTCCAGCAGCACGCCGGCCGAGCAGGCGGCCTCCCGCATGGCGCACTCGCTGGCGTAGGTGGCATTGTCGCTGGCGCAGACGGGCTCCTCGGACTTGCTCTCGGGGCACAGCTCGTCGCACAGGGAGCACCGGCCCCGGCCGGCCTTGAAGTCCCACAGGCACTTCTTCCCGCTGCTGCACGGGATGTCCTCACAGGACTTTGCTTCTGGGATGCAATGGACCTGTGATGAGTACGCGGCCCCCTCGGCCCCCCTCTGCGGCTTTCCTCTGCTCCCCTAACAAGACATGTGAACCAGGAACGTACGCCTCTTTCCGTTTTGTTTTGTGAAACCTCGCCTGAGGATATGTTTCCGTTGATTTTTGGGGAGAGTGGAGGAGAGGGGAAGACGGAGGGAAACACGCATGTGAGAGGGACACATGGATGGCTGGTCTCCGGCAGGAGCCTGGACCAGGGTTTCGGGCCAGGGAGGAGCGAGCCACCCGGGACCCTTCCATCCACAGGGCCACACACTATCCACTGAGCCGAACTGGCTAAGGCTAAACATATAACTTACATGTCATTGCTCACTAATGGGGGTCATGAAGCTATAGGATGCAAAAATGCTTGATAATAAAGCTGAAATACAGTCACCCCCCCCCCCGATTCCTACATACTACATGTGTGCATGAAAATAGCATGTTTGGGACAGGATTCCGGCGTCCTGGAGCTACACGTGCGTTGGATGCTTCCCCACAGTGAGTCTTTAAAAAAAGAACGCGTTTCACCAGTTATCAGCACCCAGTGACAGCTGTGAGGCGCTGGGAAGTCATTACTTCTTGCTTCCAGCAAGTCTGTCACTTAGGACGAACGTGCAACAGCGAGGGAGCTCTGCGTTTTCTCAGACGGAAAACCGTTTCCTGGTTCTCGCAGGCGCTTCACAGCAGATGCCAGCGCGGCGGGAAGACACGGCTTCCCGGGGACCGCGGGGCCTCGGAGAGGGAGGATCGCTCCCTCTGGCCAGACTCTGCCCCTGGGAAGCACTGGGCTTCCTGGTTGGTCAACCCCATGGTTCTAATGCCTGCACCTGCCTCCTCCTCCCCGTTCCCTCTCTCTGTGTCTCAATCCGGAATACCTACTGATACACTTTCCCTCGTAGGCCAAGCCGATGGACCTGCCCAGCAGGCAGGTGGCCTTCCGCAGGTGGCAGGCGCTGGAGTAGGTCACCCCGTCGTTGCCGCACAGGTACTGCTCGGAGGAGGAGGGCTCCGGGCAGACCCGGTTGCAGGTCACGCAGTAGGCGTTGTTGGTCTGGTCCACCACGCACGTGGAGCTCCCCGGACAGAACACGTCCCGGCAGGTCTCTGCGACAACGGGAGAGGCGGTTAGCAGGCGGCTTCCGGTCCTGGGGAGGGAGGGTCCATCGGCAGGGACATAGATCCCCAAGGGGGAGAGCCCGGCTCCCACAGGCAGCAGGGAGCCCTGTGGTTCTCAGGGGGAAACCTACCACTCTGGGTTGGTCCCTTCTGTGGTATTTTTCTTTTAAAATATCTTTTCATTGATTTCAGAGAGGAAGGGAGAGGGGTATAAAGAGACAGAAACTTCAATGATGAGAGAGAACCATTCACCGGCTGCCTCCTACTCGCCCCACACAGGGATCAAGCCTGCAGCCTGGGCATGTGCCCTGAGCCGGAATGGAGCCGTGACCTCGTGGGTCACAGGTCAATGCTCAGCCACTGAGCCATGCAGGGGCCGCCCTGAGCTCTGCAGGCATCT